TTGGATTAGCCCGTTATCTACAGCAGTAATGCTGATTAAGACATGTAAACGAGGCTGAATTGACTGATGACTGATATACAAATATAAATATATAGATTATAAAATATTAAACCTATGATACAGTGACTGAACCTATGATACAGTAATATATCCTATGATACAGTGACTGAACCTATGATACAGTGACTGAACCTATGAAAGAAGCCAAAACACGGCCCCTGATCTTCAACACTCTTCTATTCCTACCACTGATGTATTGTCCGTGAATGTGCATACCCTTAATTTGATTAAACTCAGAGCAGGTTCCACGGAGTGTAAGTTATAAATATACGTCCCTTACTGTGATACCTGGCCTATGATTGGTATAAGATGAGTGCTTGTTAATCCGTTATTACCCCTCCAGCCCCTACCATCAGCTCCAATCTCAATCCAGTTCTAAATATAACTCCATCTCATCGCCCTCCACGTTACTAATTGCAGATATCGTTTACTATAATACTTGACAGTGTGAGTGTGGCCGTTGGGGAGTGTAAGGGGAGATTAATACTGCTGTAAGTACCTTATGAAGCAGGTACAAAATACATTTGGCAGTGCCTGCTAGTAAGTACTACAACTTAAAGTGGCAAATTAAATGGCAAATTAGAGATTTTTGAACAGCTTTCAGTGACTTAGTCGAAACAGAACCATATAAGAGATAATTTAACCACGCCCACGTTTAAGAATACCCGTTCACTACTAAATACTGAGCACCCTCCATTTACTAGATAACGACTTCTACGGAGGAGCTGGAATTTAAAATTTCGGGAGAACTCCAAATAAAACAAGAAAATCACGAGAACCAAAATAAATCATACTATTACTATGCAGAGTAAAGGTACAAAACACACTGTAACTACAACAGCACATAGCACACTACTACAAGAAATCAAGCTGCGTGACGGTGGAAAGCAATGCACGTGCGCCTATCGCGTAAATGTGCACGTGTGGAAGTGCGCATGGTCGTGCACTGGTACGCGCTTGTGGTACTGTACTTCGAGTAGTGCTGCGCTGTGCTGGTAGGAACGTGCCTAAAGGGTACACTATTATCAAAATAAACATTTAAGAAAACACTGATCATCATTGATTCTAGTATTCTAGATTCTAGTATATTCGGATTTTTCACTCAGAAAGATTACGCTTGCTCTATTGCACAGCTTAAGGGAAAACCAAATATATCATTAACTTAAATGCCGATCTCAAATACAATTACAAAAATAAACAAAATCGAGATGAAAGTTTTTAGAAGAGCAACTTCAAAAACTTAATAACAAAATCGGTGCACCAAAATTTCATCATTACACATCGTTGCTGCATGTAGCTAAATTTGAATTATACGTAGTTGTAGATTCTCAAATAAGTAAACAATCAATATATCAAAATGACAAAAGCATTGTCTCGCACGTGGTTCTCACAACTATTATTGTAATGATATATCATATTATGGTATAAGGTTTAAATGTCAATCAAATCAATTACTCCACGCCTGAAAACAAGAGGGCGTCTTTTTTGCTGAACCTTCCTACCTTATACCTCCCCCCACCATTATGTGCATATATTACACAATATGTAACATATGTGTAAGATAATTACACACCTTCATGTTTCTTCCCATGTCTATATTACCTGCCTAGCTTGATTGTGGGGAAACTTCAGTTGTCTCACAAAAGAAAAAGCTAAACCACGTGACCTTCACAACAAAAGTACTGTGAAGATGATCGTGTTCAGAAGAAGAAACTACGGCTATAGTATAATCATGATTATACAAAAGAATTACTAGAAACATATGTGTGAGACAGAGACACTGGGTGTTTCGTGTGCGTTGTTTGACGCTGTGTGTGACATTGTGTGCGTGGTGTTCTCTGGAAAAGAATTGAAAATCCATTCCATGAGTTTTCATGTGTGTGACGTTGGAGAATGTCGGAGATTGGAATGAAAAGCTCTCTCTCTCTCAGTGCACGATAGTAGAAGGTGAGCAGAATGAAAAGCTCTCTCTCTCTCTCTCCTCAGTACACTCCACACATTATGTATTCAATGTAAGTTATCATCACCCTCCCTAGCAGGGAGAGAAGCCCTGCATAGTCAGCAGTGTGTGGCCTGGTGAGGACAGATCCGTCGAATAACGAGCCCTGCATTTTTGTAACTACATCTTAAAGTCATCCTCGCGACGTTGACACATTCCCCCGGAAGCCACAACACACGGGTAATACATCAATAATATATAACACTAACGTTGACAAATAAACGTAACGTTAATTTGCTCCAAACTGAGAAAAGTTTTTGAAGAAGTTTTGATAATTCTGTTTTTAAAGGATAGTATCACGTTTTACGAAACTGTATATTACATTTTGTGATAACGTTTTGAACGAAACTCTTAAAATTAAATCAAAAAGCTGACACCGAACTCAAATCGCAGCTCGAAACTCTCAAGGAAAACTGCAAGTTTAAAGAAATCATACAATAAATCACACCGTTATTAACGGTTAAATGAAGTTATATCAATTGGGTGAAATAGCTTGAAACACAACCCAATGTCAGTTTCACATTGAGACGGGAAGAAAGCCAGCCCCATTTCACATCTCAGCATTGGAAGGGAGAATCACAAAGTTGAACTAAGTCTACATGGACAAGGTTCAACTGGGGACTCCCAACTTCTGCTGGGCCCATGATGAGTAAAGAGGGTTGGCAAACCTCGCCGCCTCGCCTATTTGAGGAAACATCCTTTCCGTTATTACATCGAAATCCAGCCATGTAAATCATATGTTGTTATAATAATTCTCTCTACGTACTTTTTCCTATATAAAAGAAATAGTAATCATCAAGTAACTAAAGGCAATATATGTCAATTACTCTTAAGACTAACCAAAGTAAAGAGTAAATTTTGACATCAAAATAATACAGCTGAATTGTAGCAAAGTAAATCTGGAGGCGACCCACAACCATCAACTAAAAGTTTACCTCATTTTTCCTATCATAGCGGAAGTTAACTCTAGTCAATAATTTAAACGAGGGAACATTTTTCGTCATCAACCGGTGAGATATCGTGAGTGTCCCCCTGCGTCCCAAAGCCTCTGCTGCCCCAGGGAGGTTAATCCCCACATTAGCTTCAAGGGACGCCAGAACACCCGCCGTAAGTTAATCAGATCTCTTGAGCACTGTTTTACAACAAAATTACAAATTCAGAATCTTTAAACTGGATCTGATAAACCCTCTGACCGCATCAGAAAAACTGCCTCCTTTAAACAAATAAGATATATCTTAAATCTAAGTCTAAACGTGCATGCTAAAATATAATACTAAATCATGCTGTGATGTTTTGGCTTCAAAGTTGGGGGAACTCTCGTCAACTCTCTCATTGAAAAAAGAAAAATACAGAAGATCTGGGGGAGCTTAAGACTCGGAACGGACCCGTCCACCACCTTTATCCGGTATCCAATAATAAGAAAGTTACGTCCTGGTGTACTACTAAAGTGTAGCTGACGACGCTCAATTGTTTATCAGACATGATGTTGGGAGGGAAGCCACCCAAAAATATCACCTGTCACAGATAATGGAGATCAGTAGTGGGTGTAGAGGTTTAATACACTCTGTGCGTGTACTGAGATATATGGACACAGGTCAGCATACATGCACGCCTACAACAGGTCAATTGGTTGTGATTTAATGAGCGGGTGTGTTTTGTCTGTAGATGTGTGTGTGTTCACTTCGTTTGTGTGTGTGTGTGTGTGTGTGTGTGTGTGTGTGTGTGTGTGTGTGTGTGTGTGTGTGTGTGTGTGTGTGTGTGTGTGTGTGTGTGTGTGTGTGTGTGTGTGTGTGTGTGTGTGTGTGTGTGTGTGTGTGTGTGTGTGTGTGTGTGTGTGTGTGTGTGTGTGTGTGTGTGTGTGTGTGTGTGTGTGTGTGTGTGTGTGTGTGTGTGTGTGTGTGTGTGTGTGTGTGTGTGTGTGTGTGTGTGTGTGTGCGTGTGTGTGGGCACAACTAAATACATCATTAACAGAGAAAGTAGGCTAATACCCGACATATATATGAGAATACTTACGTTTTAAAGGCTATATTAATATAAAGTTAGAGTAAAAAGGTACGGAGTATGTCATCATAAAAACTGGATTGAGAACTTGTTGTATCCAATGATGTACTTCACTCCAAATATGGTCAAATGATAATAAAATCGACAACTGAAGTTACCACACAATCCTTTGATCAAAAGAATACCTGAATCCCTGATTAAACCCGAGCTCTCGCGCTTTGTAACGGCACAAAGGAGGATGGCCAGCATATACGCACAATGAGAGTGCATTGCACGAGTGTTTGTGGCCCAATAGCACAGGTCCTTGCGCCCCGGAGAAGGGGGCCCGAACCTGCGCTACAAACACCCGCTCTCCGCACACTCGCGTCGGGACTCCTCTCGTCCTCGGTACGACACAGTTTAACAAAATCATCCTGTTACCGGCTACAGAAAACTGATCAAGGGGTTTTGAACAGGGTGCTGCTGAACGAATAGTGTACGATAGTTGAAGTTCTATCGGAATGTTGTGGTGAAAAACACGTACATAGAAAGTTTGAATCTTCTTGTTGCCCGGCTTTAGAATAACATGAATAACACATTTTGATTCATGTGCTGTTTTAATCATTTTAGAAGGTTGTGATTGGTGTATTTTAAGCTGGATTAAAAACCGATTAAAAAATCAGGAAGGGTAAAATCGTGATTATATTATTATTAAGATTATTATATTATATTGGCAATAAATGGGTAGCGTTTTAGCTATAAGCTTCTCGGTTTGCTTGATAGCGGATAGCATGGTGCTTCAAAGATTAGAGAAAGTTTTCCCATCATGATTGGAAGAATTGAGATGGATTTTATGAGTAATAGCTATAGATAGAATTTTTTACCCTAGAATATGATGTAGGTAAAAGCAGAATGACCGTGTAATTAGAATATGTCTATGATTAGTGCTTTGTTAAGTACGATAATCGATTATAAATAAAAAGAATAAATATGCTCAAATCGCAGATAAAAAGTAAGGACGATATAAACTTTGCTAGGTGAACTATTAACATTAAAACAGTCCACAGTCTTTTAGATTATTCTTGATGATGACATCCGTTACTGCGTCAAAGACGAACTGGATGTTACCGGTGTCGGTTGCACAGGTGAAATGTGTGTAGATTTCCTTTCCATCTTTTCTATTCAGAGCTTCAAACTTGAGCTGAATATATTGGGCAGCTTCACCGTACGTGTTGGCGCCTTGGTACTCCGGAAAACATCGACTTAGGGGATACTTGGTTATCTTAGCTTCGAATAAATCCATCTTGTTTAGGAAAAGAATGATGGAAGTGTCAGTAAACCACTTGTTATTGCAGATGGAATCAAACAGCTTCATGCTTTCGTGCATCCTGTTCATGCCTTCATCTTCAACAAGCTTCAAGTCGTAGGCACTCAAAGAGGCACAAAATATGATAGCAGTAACACCCTCAAAGCAGTGGATCCATTTCCTTCGCTCAGACCTCTGCCCACCAACATCAAACATGCAAAACTGAAGGCCTTTGTGGCTGAACTTCTGTTCGACAATACCTGTTGTACGAACCCTAGACCTTAAAACATCTTGTTCATTTGGCAGATAGTCCGAATCGCATATTCTGTCAATGTCATCAAGATAATACTGAGCTGAGTCATTCAATTGGTACTCATTCGACCTCCCGAAGCATTCTTGTATGTTCTCGTTAGTCCAAAGGCGTTTAATGCAGTCTTGAATTTCCTCAGTTAACTTAACTTCCTCTCCCTCGATTTCATCTCTATATTTCAAAACAGTTACTGCATCTGCTGCCCTTCCAGAATCCTTTATCTCAATATAAGGGCTGATGGTGCCCAATGCCTGAATAATGCTGCATATGGAATTAAGAGTGTTGTCGTGGATGATCGGGATGTAGTATCTGCGTTCCTCGTCGTTGTAGCCTGACTTATGGATGATGGTCATCTGTTTGACGATGGTAGATTTGCCTGATTCTCCAGCTCCAAGGAGAAGCAGTTTGACTTCTCGGGCTGCTCGTTCTCCATCAAACTTGAGCTGTCTATCAAGAGCTTTGCTACGCTCTACGGCATTTTTGTCAACCCCCTCAAGGGCAGATGCTGTACAACCCATAAACAAGTCACTTCAACAACATCACAGACATTCCACCTAAAACGAAAGGTACAGCGGTTCAGATCATGCAATAGTAATATCTGTTGCCAGCCTTGGGGAAACGGTTACTTACTTACTTACTTAACTTACAAAGGAGCAGCTTAGTCAGTTCAAATTAAAGTTTTTGCAGCACGTGCATTTGAGCTAAAAAAGTTGGATTAGAACTGAAATGAAAATCACATTGATACTTATTTACGTGTGCTTACCTTAGGCAAAAATGACTTAATATTACATATCCAAGGTCTGGCAACATCCTAGATTAAATCATTTGGAGTCATTTTGATTGATCAAAGTATTTTGGTTAGTAAAACGAGAAACCCTCAAGGTTAAAATATAGAGTTCAATTTGAAGCACATAATATTGTACACAATCTCAGATGTTCCTATTTATTACAGATCCCCGAGGATTTCAACTACATTGGCAGTTGAACTAAACGATTAATTCCATAACACACATATTAAACAATCGACACAACGTTATATTACAAAACTAAAAAGCATGACACATACTTTAAAGTTAAAGTCTGGATAGACAAACAGACGTTGTCCTTATAGTGTGGTCGGTAGGCATAGGGATTTAGTCAAATATATAAAAACAGCATTATTACAAATAAAAGCATTCGTTTAAGTGGTGGTGAGTGAATGCTATGATATAAGTAGGATAAATATATACTTCAAATGATTGAATAAATATATGGTTGAATATAATTGTGTATAGTTTTGTGCCGGTGTGCGACAAATAGCAAGAACTCAGCACTCAGCAAAGACTGCTCAGCAAAGTATCATTATAAGATGGATGAAAGTGAAGTGAATGAGCGAAATTATGAGAGTTAATTGTTTTTTGTAATTTGAAAATTTTGTTCATTTAACCAGCCCAGCAACTTTCCGAAACTAGGCAACAATTGTTCAAACTTTCCTGGGAGGGTAAGTATGTTAATAGGAATTTGAAAAGCAATTCATCTGGTCAGTTTTCTGTATTGAGTAGTAATAAGAGCTTTAAGAAAAACAGTTTTCACTTGCCTGTAACAAGTTCTACCACCAATCTTATAGAAATCTACTATTAGCTGCCACAATTGACTAATTGACTGCATCAAAATGATACAATTAATTAATTAATTGAGCCCTCAACCACATCAGAGCTAAGAAACAAGTATTTTTCTCTTTAGCTTCTAAGATTCATATGTTAAATACCTGTAAAACAGCTCGTCTTTAAAGATTGTGCCATCTGCTGAAAGATGACACACCAGTAATCCGAAATGTTAGCAAAAATTGATCAAACAATCTGTCATAGAATAATTCTAATATCTAAACGTGATTTTCATGCATCTATACAATTATTATATTACCTGTTAATAAATATGTCCAGCACAGACAAGAAACTTGAAAAAGCCATATGCTACAAGTAAGCCAATGGCAAACACACATATTAAGCGTATTTCAAACCAATGCAAGTTGACGATACTGTACCTTGAGCATTTTTAATGGTCTGGAACCTTACATTTAAGATTGCTGCTGAGGTCCAAGCACTTTTAGTGCTAAGGGTCAACGTTAAGTTACAAACATTATTCGAGTTCAATCAATAATAGCCCTGCCAACTTGAATGATAGCAAGATCTTTTAAACACAAACTTAAATGTTTGGAGCCAGATTTCAGAGTTTTTATGTTCAGGTAGTTGTTTTTACAAATTGGATTTGGGAATCAAACGTAGAGTATTATCATTATTACTAGGGTTAATTAAATTCAAAACTAAGCAGTCGATGGTATCTTAGCCCTATAGCCCTAATAATAAAACGCTTACCTACAAAGAACACATTTTAAAACAGTCCACAGTCTTTCAGGTTATTCTTGATGATGACATCCGTTACTGCGTCAAAGACGAACTGGATGTTACCGGTGTCGGTAGCACAGGTGAAATGTGTGTAGATTTCTTTGTCTTCGGTTCTGTTGAGGACTTCGAATTTACCTTGAATGTACTGAGCAGCCTCTGCATATTCGTCAGCACCATTATACTCAGGGAAGCATATCTTTAGAGAAGACCTGGTTATTTTCTCCTCGAAGAGATCTTTCTTATTCAGGAAAAGGATAATTGATGTATCCGTAAACCATTTGTTATTACATATTGAGTCAAAGAGCTTCATACTTTCGTGCATCCTGTTTGTTGCATCATCTTCAGCCAGGACCAAATCATAGGCACTGAGTGATGCACAAAAGATGATAGCAGTTACTCCTTCAAAGCAATGGATCCACTTTCTTCTTTCAGATCTTTGACCACCAACATCAAACATGCGGAAATGTAGATCCTTGTGAGAGAAATTTTCTTCGACAATACCAGTTGTTTGCACTCTGCATCTTAACACATCTTGCTCATCAGGAATAAAGTTAGTTTCACAGATCCTATCCAAAGCATCTAGGTAGTATTTTGCTGAATCCATGAGTTGGTACTCATTGGAGCGCTGGAAGCACGCCTGAACACCCCCATCAGCCCACAAAGCCTTCATGACCTCAGGTGCACCATCAGGGAGTTGAGTTGCCGTTGTATCCAACAGCTCATAGGATAAGAGCTTTTCACCATCAGGTTTCCGTTCTGAGTTGGCAAATTCAACATGAGGCGTTATAGAGTTCATAGCTTGTAGAATGTTGCTGAGTGACACAAGAGCGTTATTGAGGATAACATTTATATACTTCTTTCGACTCTCCTCGTTGTATCCTGACTTATGGATGATAGTCATCTGCTTCACAACAGTTGATTTGCCAGACTCTCCAGCCCCCAATAGCAGCAGCTTAACTTCTCTCGCCGACTTTTCAGCATCTTCTTTGAGTTGCTTGTCAAGCTGCTTACTGCGCTCTTTTTCTGCTGTGTCGTTACCCCCACAACATCCCATTGTGGACTTGTAACTTTATTATTTGGCTTTTCTCAGTCTTCCCGCATTACCCATTACCTGTGAGATATGGGTTATCATTTGAAAATACAGAAAATAAAATCAAGATGGGTGCAAATGAAGTTATCATCATCATTTAATCATTAAACCCATATATATTCATTGTTATTATTACCATTATTGCATGTTAAAGTGAACAGATTCATCGTTAAGAGTCTTGGAAAGATAATACATTGTAATGTTAATACTGTGCACAATTTTTGCACACTTGCACTGAAATTTAAGTTCCAAATTTTGCTTATTCTCCCAACAAAATTTGTTGTTTTCTTGAAAATCAAGTTTTTAAACGACATTTTAAACAACCAGAAGCTGAAACAGCAAAAGGCAACTCTTAAGCCTGCAATCACTAAGCATATTGACATCTTGAATAAAAAGGCCTTATCAGCATATCACAGGACTTCTTTGTTGATACTTATTTCATCCTGGAAGCTATACACGCATGAAACAAGTAAAACATTGATGCTGCATTCGAGAAGCACAAGGAAGAGAAAAGGTTAAAAAGGCAATCTTCATTCTTCACTCCTTTAAGGGTATCAAACAGTGGAGGTATGGGAAAAGAAGCTCAATTACTTCATATCACAGAAAAGGGATACTACCTATATCAATTGGGTATCATTTCACAAAAAGGAAACTCAGTTTTTGATTTTCATGCACAACACTTATAGCTCATGGGGCAACAAACGAAAGCAGAAATCTTATCTATAATTCCATGACATGACAAATTACACAAAATTAATAATTATATGTTCGTGTTGTTCAAATTGATGTAATTTTGATAGATATTATATTTATAAGATTTGTAACTAGTTAAACAATTATTTCTAGATGTGAAGAGTATTTAAGAGGAGCTTATTTTGTATTCTATTAGAAGACAGTAGCTAGAGGAGAAGAGGACAATTATGGTGTTTAATTTGCTAGAAGACAATAACAAGAGGATCATACGAAAAGTTGGTGAGAAGTTATAGAGAAAAAGTTGTGATGGACATTGATTATGCCGATGAAATGGCAGTGATGGATAATACAGAGGATGGGCTGCAGTAATCCACAAACCTAATCCCTCACTACAGTTCTTATGCTAGACTGAAGCTCAATGCCAAAAAGACACTGTGTAAAAAGTAAAAAGTAAAGTAAAATTTATGACATCACATCATCACACATGTCTACAAAATATCATCGCACTATGTGAAAAAATATATAATAAATATTTCCCCATCAACATTAATTATTTATCAAATACAATATTTAAAAACAATTTTATCAAAAACATTATCCTATTTTAAAAACTTTCCAGTGGAATAAAGATTTATAAAACGCTTCTTTGCCACATAAGGATGGAACCAAAGATAATTGTTATGTTTCTCTTTATTACTGACATAACTGGCTCCCTCAATTCTTACTAAAACTTCATTAGAAACATTCCAAATAAAGCAATCATTTGTAATACTTTTAGAAATCATATCTATCTTATATCCTTCTAATTTAATTTTAAAACCTAAAACTGTCACAGAGATCTTGACGTCCGGAGGGAGTTTGTTCCAATATGGAAGAACTCGCTCCGGGAGAAAGGACTTCTGGATATTCTTGACCTTTGTCACACTTTTACTACATCTATTGGATGAAACCAGATTAAGACCTGATCTGCTTGGTCTGAACAAGTCTGAACCATAATCAGTCATACCATTAATTACCTTAAAAGCTTCAATAAGGTCCCCACGTATTCGCTGCTCTGCCAGCGTTGTCAAATTGAGGATTTCCAGTCTACGGCTGTAAGGAAGAGTACCCACCTCATCAATCAGACGGGTAAACCGCCTCTGGACGCTCTCCAGCTCCAAAACAGTCCCCCAACTTCCATGAGCCGCAGGTGGATTCCACAATTGGACACAATACTTAAGATGAGGTCTTATTAAAGCTTTAAATATAGCAATCATAACAACCTTTTCTCTAATAACTAAATTCCTTACAATCCAACAAATCATATGATTTGCCTTAGCAATACATGCTTTGATCTGTTTGTTCCAAAGCAGGGAGCTATGGGTAATAACCCCCAAATCTTTTTCCTGTGCAGATACTTCAAGTTCTATACCATTAACCTTATAATTTAAATTAGGATTGTTGTTAAAATTAATATGCAATACTTTGCACTTGGCAGGATTAAATTGTAAAAGCCAAATACTTTCCCAAACTTCTAATTCTTCAATATCTTCAGCAACACTACTGTGGTAAGCTGCATATTACCAATTAATTTAAGAAAAACATTTCTTCCCATTTGTATTCTGTTGTTTTCTTGAAATTGTTGTTTTCTTGTATTCAGTTTTTTGTTGCGTGGCTACACTTGTGAACTGATATGATTACCGTAGCTGTGCCATATATTCTACCTTGTTTGTAGACAAAATACATTGCACATATCAATTATTGTAATGCTGACTGTTTCCGACGATATAATTTTGCAAAGATCAAGCAAGATGACATTTATCAGTGAATTGCTAAACAGTGCAGACGTTATCAAGTATAGGACGGAAAACTAGAGGATATGATGAATAATAGTAATATAAGGATGTGCTCGCTAAACAACTCAAGCAAGGTTATTAAGCCAAGATTTCACAAAGGAGCTTTCAAAAACAGTTCAGAAACCCATACAAACAGGGATCACTAAGCTAAGCAGAAACATAATGGTGTTTAATTTGCTAGAGGAGAATAACGAGAAGATTGTATGAAAAGTTGGTGAGAAGTTTAAGAGAAGCCTAGGGTTGAGGCTAGGCATTTGGGGAAGGAGATGAAATCATCTGTATGGCCTGCGAAAAAAAAACTTTGTCCTCCTGGAAACGAATGATGAAGTTCGCAGGTGTACTGCACTGCTGTTGAATCTATTGAAACCCTCAGATCATCGGTTCTGTTAGACTGCGGTGGTACGGACAAGTTGTTAGAATGCCAGACAACAGATTACGAAAAGAGGTCACGACGGAGACCCAGAAAACGCTGGTTGGCCTGTGTACTCTACAGCCTGTGTACTCTAATGCCTGTGTACTCTAACATATACTGCTGAAGTTACAGGTGTTCAGAACATCTGCCAAGATGCAGTAATATAATTAGCATTGAACTTATAAGGTCGTATGTAAGAGATTTGTGTTGCATGCCATTCTCAGAACTAAAATACCTTCTTTCTGTAATTAGATTTAAAGAAAGGCCAGATCAATATTGCAATGTGTCAACGAAAATTATTGCTTGTGGTTTGGCAAATTTTGTTCTGTCAATTTCGCGAGGCTCAAGAAATTTAAAAAATTGTAAAGCAAGAGGTCTCACTGGAAGGAAGAAAATAAAGTCATTTGTAAGTTTGAATACAAGATGGAGAAAAGGATAATTGAATAAATTACATTCAATTTCAGCAATGGCCAATTGGCTGACTATAAGGTCGTGGCCTGAACAAATAAATTTTAAAAATAGTCAAGTGATGCTAAAGCAGAGCACAAATGTGTAATAAGTTAATAGATTAAAAACTGATTCATGTGATGCATTACGCAGAGCACAAATAAAAATACTGATTCAATGATTAAAATTATAGCTGTGAGTGTCAAAGTCATTTGTAAGTTGAATTTAATTCGCTATTTTAAAATTTTGAGTCTTTCCACTTATTCCATTTAAAGACACTTAAGAAAACAAACAGCACTGTAAAAGCGGTTGGAATTCTGTTAGGTTTTGTCTCGGATCAGTGTGCTTTGAATGAGACTGAAGTATAGTATAGTATTGTGGTTTACGCTGCGGTCGCGGTTCATGTGGATTTACTGAAGGGTACTGCCTACATTTATATTTGATTGTAATTAAAGATCTTAAGGCGTTAGTGCCGACTAATGCCTCTGGGTAATGCTCCTCAATCATACAAGATAATAGATCTTTTGGAACAACCCTGGCCTTCCTCATATAATCCTTCATGACGAAATTCCCGTGTCCCGATTATTTGGCTGTGTCCACTGAGAACATTTAAAGAGATGTGTACTTTGTAATTTTGCATAGTTTTAACAAATTATTAGCTTACTCCCTAGACAAGGCCATTGATTCACTGAATGGATGCTGAAACCGTTACCTACTGGGGACCACAGGCTATAATGTTCATGAGCGCCACTATAGCGAGCCCATCACGATTTAGGGGTCGTTCACGTAAAACGTAATATAATCAGCTGAAGGGGTTCCGAATGATTACGGTAGTGTAATTTTGACACAATAGCTATTGAGCTATGTAAAAAACTGATTAAAAATGTTCCAAAAAATTATTACGTAATATGTGAACAACCCCTTATCAACTATCCCACTGTACTTCAAATAACATCCGTTACTCTGATTAACTACCCTAATATAAACCTAACTCTAACCCTAACCCGGCCTTATCCTAAACCTAACCCTAACCAATAAAAAGACTGGAATGGGCCCATTTTAGTGTTTACCAATGTTCAGAAACATAGCATGGCGAATCTGAATTAGCTGAACCCTCTCAAACGCGCACCCCTTTCAAACAGGCACGTATTTGCTCGTGGAATGGTTAGTACAGTAGTCAGTAGGCTCAGTACAGCGTGCATAAAATGTGTTTTGTAATAATATCATATCATTTCAATAAACCTTTTTAGACGTTTATGAAAGCGGTTTTTGACAAATGTCTTATCATATTCCATACAACCTGGGACCCCAGGCTTTACTGTTTATACTTTATAAGCATGCAGATATGGCGGAGTGGTAGGTTGACCATTGTTAATGGTCTGGCCCGGCGCGCGCTACTTCGTAGCACGTGCCATCGAGAAGAAAGCGGCGCGCGCTACTTCGAAGAAATTTAGACGAGTAACATCCGTCAAAGTAATAAGCCGAGCCCCGCCCAGTTAATTCCATATTAAATTTGAAAATCTTATACAGTACAATGCAATTTTATGTAACACTAACCATATGTTTATTGTTTGTGTTAATCTGATATAATGACACGGATCTGTGCAAAATGCAAATGGAAATATTATAAT